TATATTTTTTTGGAAAATTTACATACATACAACTCAACTATCATGCATTTGAAAAGACGAGAAAATATCATATGCGGAGAAACCCACATCTGGATGACAGTCTGAATGTGGGCATGTCATCGTGTATCGCACAGTAATTGATCTGGGTTCCTCATTCGGATGTTTGGCTGTTGCATGTAATATTTGCTCTATTTACATGTCTAACAACCAAACTTTAATTTTTACATACTTACCATTAAACATATGCATAAAGATATTTTTATGCACGTTGTTGAATCTAAATATGCCATGTGGATCACACCAATGATATTTTTATGTACGTTGACGAAAGAAACACAAAGAGAGCTTGAGAGAGGTTCTAAGAGCACAACAACACAAGTTTTGAGAAGTAGATTTAATAGTCTTTTATTAAAAAAATGACCACTCTATTTATAAGTCTCAGAGTTTCTAGTATAAAATTATATGTCTACCCTCATTTTAATAAGGATGTTAAAAGTTATTATGATATTTTTTCACATTTGTAACCGACTTCAACATCCTTTCATATCCATAAATAACATTAGTATCATTTCGTTTTCATAAATGTTTGAAAATGGGCAATTTAATGAACCATTAATTTTATTGTTCGGTCAACAAACATTCGGCTGGCTGAAAGGTCATTGACTGACCACATCGACAAAATCCCGAGTAAAGTCTCTTTTGTCGTACATAAGAGTGAATTCAGATCATCAGACAGAGGGTGTATCACAGTAATCAGATGGGCAGCTCTTTTTGAATAATTAGCCTTCTCAGAGACCCTTTGGCCTTCATTGTAAAGAGTTTCAAAGGGAGTTGATTACGAATAAATGTCCTTCATATTATGTGTAGCATATTTTTTTGTTTGGTTGTACTTTCGTTCGATCTTCTCATTGTTTCAAACGAAGGAAACATCATATATTTGTGTTTCCAACATTTGACTTTTATTGTACATTTCCAGCTACAGTCCTTTGGTGTTCAGAAGCGAAAGTTGAATTAATTTTCTCTAGATTCATGGGTCCATATTTTTTATGTACATATATGAAAGATTTAAGTGTGATAAATATTAAAAAAAAGTAAAATTTAGTTGTTAAGATATGTCAACGCATAAAAATTCATGGAAATGAATGTAAATGCCCCACATTGACCCCAATTTTTGACAATTTCTCATATTATTGTCAATCGTTGTGTGTTTACACATTCTACCACAACGCCGTAAGACCTAATAGACATTTTTGGACAGCAACGCATGCTTAATTCACCATTGCCGCATGGCTCGCCATACGGACGTCGGAGAAGCAGTAGTAGCTCGGCCATGCAAGAAGACCAGCACAACAATACTAAGATGGTAGCCGCCGCCAAAACTCGGAACGACAAAAGTTTAGCTCGGGAAGGCAACAGTTAACTCCTTTTAGATTCATTTCAACTCCTGTTCAGTACACCAGTTGTTCAGCTTGCGACTTGGCCGTAAACAAGTAATGTTTCATGTCGTCGACATTCAGTTCCGGAGTTCAATCGGAAATTGAGATTCACCGCCGTCCCCTTTTCTATAATTTGTAATTGCCAAAAATAGGTACAAAAACATAAATAGCAGATCATGCAGAAGCTTGATGTGATGGGATACTGTATTGATTGTTGGTATGAAAACTGAATAATTTATAGTGGCATTTACATAGCAACAACCTCGGTCATCTATTGTGAAGAAGTGGGAGAAAGTTATCTCCGACCCTGCCCATCAGGACCTCCGGGTTCTTATTTGGTTTTGCTGTAAAGAAAAAAGTCATTGCGGTGCAGAAAAAAGTCGTCCCCGTCCTTGCCTCAACAGGCGATCCGGGATCTTCTTTTTGGTTACTAAGATGAAGAAAGTTGTCCCGGTCTCTACTCGATAGGTGACAAGGAATCCTCTTTCGTGGTCTTCTTTTGCGTTGTTGCCACGCATTTCGAGGGAAATAAAGAAATGTTGGAGTTTTTCCGCCGTGTATTTATGGGGAGGTTTTTATGCTTCTGCGGTAATGATATATAGAAAATCTCGTCTCCTAGTGTTTATTGATCTTTATGGTTTTTTACTCGCCTGACATGGCATTTGTAGATGGTGATAATGTAATTATTTGTACATCTTTGACGTTGTTATAAGGTTGCTTTTGTTTTTTTTATAAGTTTCGGTTACTCCATTTTTAATATGATGTCGCCCAACTTATGAGTCGTTGTTGTCCCACTTCACGGGTGCATATTAGTGTTGACCTCTAGGCTTATGCCTTTTAAGATTCTTTGATCTCTTAAACATGGTGAAGTCTACAATCAAAGTTAGTACTTTCACTTTATATAAAAAGGGATCGCATACATTTTCAAACTTGTGTCTTCTGAGATTTGTTTCTTCTTAAGATTATATCTTATGAGGCTTGTGTTTTATTTGGCTTGTGTCTTCTAAGAGCATGAAATGTGTCAGTTTCTTCTAAGACTTGTAACCTTCTGACATCTTTGATGTATATGTGATTTCTAAAGCTTGTAATTTTCTGAGGTCTTTGATATGCATGTGCCTTTTGAGGCTTGTAGCATTCTGGGGTCTTCGAGTATGGGTCATGTCAACCACTTGCTCTTGTAGAGTCTTTCTAGTAAGGAAACTATCACATTATAGAGGAGCTTTAAATCAGCGTGGACATTTTGCGTCGGAAATTTTCGACGCCTACATTTGCATCAGATTTTGTGATTGATTTGCGTCAAACATAAATTTATTCTATTTCATCGGATTTACGTCTGAATACTCAACACAAAAAATGAGGGAATTGATGTTGTTGTTGCGGTGCTTTCTGCATCGGATTTGCGTTAAATAAATTGACACAAAAGCTTTACTTAAAAGCATCGAAAAATCCTGACAGAAATTAAATAATAAATATGACGCAATAGACCTAAAAACCCATCCCACGCCTTCCAATTCCTATTCTTCTTTGCGCGTCACACTCCCATCTCCTCTCCTCCCTTCCACAACATCCAAAACCGTAGCATCTCCTCTCCTCCCTCTCTCCTTCGCCTATCGCCCGTCGCTGCACCTCCCCATCACTGGCCTCTGCACCTCCCTGTTGTTGTACCTCCTTCCCACCACTGAAACCCTGACCCTAGCTAGTTTCCTCTTGTGAGAGGATCGAAAGGTAATTTCGCCCCAGTTTTTGCTTTTTTTAAATTCGTTATATATGTAACATTTGAAGTTTAGGTGTTAGGAATGTATAGACATAAAATTTTGGTGATATGTAAGTAACATTTAAAATTTAGATATTAGGAATGTATATGCATAAAATTAGGTGTTAGTTATGTGTATATATATACACGAGTATTGAGTGGTATTTATTACAATCTTGTTATTTATATGCATTGTATAAAATCAAGTTTGGGTGAGATTGGAGTTGGTTGTTGGGTTGGCATGAACTAGGATTGGGTGGTTTAGTATTCTTTTGATCTTTCGATTTTAAATTTAATCAGTTTTGAACTAAAAAAAAAAATCGAAGATTGCAGTTGATAAAAGATGATAATATCAATATTATATTTTAGGTTGATAAAATTGATGTGGTTGTTGATGAATTGAATATGAAGTTCACTAGTGTGACAGCTTATATAGAATTTTTATACTACTTTATATGTGAGGATTAAAAATGCTTAAAAGTTAGATGATGATATATGAGATTAATTTATCAAATGTAGTCAGGAAGATGAGTTGAATTACATGTAGATTATGATGACATGTTAACTTATGGCACTTGAATTTTGGTCTTTACTAATGGTGATGTGAGGCAAGAGCTATTACATAAAATTCATTATTTACGATATGCAATTCATCCAAAGTGCAGAAAAATATATTATGATTTGAAGCCAATGATTTGATGGCTTAGCTTCAAGCAGCAAGTGAGAGAATTATTTCCATATATGAGAACTATCAGGGGTAAAAGTTGAGCAATCAAAGATCCAATAATTTATTATAACCTTTGTCTATTTATTAGTAGAAGTAGGAGAAGATCATTAGATTTTATTTTGGATCCGACTTTAATTATTAAATTGATTCATTTTATTAGCAAAATGATATTCTAGGATGTCTTTCATTTAATGTTGTTCAACTTATTTTAACCATAGGCATTACTAAATGAGCCAACATGACCCATTTAGAATCTATATGGTCCAATTAATTGATCTAATAGGCTTGGAACATGACCCATGAACCTTAATTTGCTAATTGCATTGTGATTAATATAACTTGATCCATAGTCAAGCTATGCACTCGTATCTTGGTTTCTTTTGAACTTAAATATGCCATTTTAACTATTATATCATCCACACAATCATCCTCTGTGAATTTTTCTCCTCTCAGTTATGCTCTTCTAAATACTAAATTTTCATTTTTTGGTCATACTCTTTTGACCTTGGCAACCTGGAAGATCAAAATCAAGTTTCTAACTAGTTCTTAATGTTTGATAAATTAAAAATGGTAGATTTAGATATATATCATGAAATTATCGTGCAAATACATATCTAACACCTAAACTTCAATTTTTTCATATATGCCACGACACCTATGCATAAAATGATATGCCACGGCACCTATGCATAAAATGATGTATTCTACTTTTTTATGTATGGAAAAGGTGGAATGTATGTAAAAAACTTGAAGTTTAGGTGTTAGATATGTATATGCATAATGATTTTGTGATATGCATGTAAAAATCCCATTAAAAATATCCAAAAGTTAAATTTAATTTGAATTTGTTCAAGCATTCTAAGAAAAAATCTTGCATAGAATATTGCACACAAATTTTTATGATCTCCTAGTCAATTTTTTTTTAACGAATATATTCATAAGCTTTTTGTTTGCTTTTGCTACGTATGTCATACTTATCTTTTTTTTTTTTTTTTTTAGACAAATTACGATATGTTTCCTATTTAGATTTCACACATACCTCTTTTTTTTTGTGTATAGTGTTCCTGATTATTTTTTATGTTAGTTTTGCTACAGATGACCACAGGTGGTATTGGTGACCAGCCACCTCAGCGGGTGAATATAAGTAAAAAATTGATTTAATCATATTTAATTTGACTTTTAATGTTTAAAATCACAATTAATAATTGGTTTTTATTATGTAGGAGTAAGAGCAGCTCCGGGAGAGGCAGTTGCTCTCCCAGACCTCGAGCACTGCTCACAGTAGTGGTACGTCTACCACTGTGCAGTCTAAGTTCGAGCTATGGACACAAGAAGCGGTGAAAAAAAGGTCGAGATCTCTTGTGCTTCTATGGGTGGCACGAGCTTGTCACACTCGAGTAATGCGGAGCTTGCCAAACAAGTCATTGTTATGATTGAGGAGGTTCATCATCTAAGTCCAATAGAGAATTGAGTGGAGTACAACATGCGTGACGAAGATTATAGAATAACGTTGAGGCAAGCGAACGGTGACTCGAGGAGGAGGATGAGTCGAAGGATTAGAAGTTTTTACATAATTTTGTTTTATGAAATGTTTGAACTTATATAAATCTGGGTGTATATGTAAATTTTTTGATAGCTTAGATTTGTGATAATATCTCTTTTTTAAGCATTGATATTCTTAAAAGCTTTGATACGTGATATTACTAGATATAATATTGTTATGATGTGGATTAAATGTTGTGTGCAGATTGTGGAAATATAATTGATGTTTGAATTTTATTTTTATTTTTTTTAGTTTTGCATCAAATTTGCGTCCGTTTTGCGTCTAATAATCCAGCATGTTGTCCATCAAATTAAGCCCGACGCAGATCTGACGGTAATCAAACAATATTATTTTTCGTCTGATGTTTTTTAGATACAAAATTTGATGCACGTGTAGACTAAACAAGTCCGGTGCTATGATGATGAAAAAATTGACACTAATAATTTGTGTTATACTATTTTGACGTAAAATTGATGGAATTAACATTTGCTACCTTCGAATTACCTGCGAAAAAAATCAGACATAATTCTGACGCAAATCTGATGGTAATCCTCAAATAGCTTTAGATTTATGTTTGATTTGTGTTTGATTTGGCCCATGCAAATTTGTTGAATGTCTGCTGTGTTAACTACTTGCTTTGCATCAAGACTTGTCTCTTGGGCTCATCCTCGAGATGCATGGTAACTTCCCAACGAGTCTTGCCTCCCGGAGTTGACTTCAAAGGGTATTATAACTTTTCATTGAATCTTGCTCTTGAGCTTGACTTCTAGGATTATGATATCTTTTTATCAAGTCTTTGCCTTTTGGACTCGACTTCTAGGGGTATGATATATTTCCATTAAATCTTGTCTCTTGGGCTCGACTTCCAGAGATACGATATCTTCCCTTTAAGTCTTATATCTTAAGCTCGGCTTTTAAGGTGATCTTGCCTCCTGGTGAGTCTTGCCTCATGGTATGTGACTATGAAGGAAATTCAAATGGAGATGCAGTTACAGAGGACTGGTTTTGGGGGCAATCAGTCTCCAAATGGGAGATTGTTATGTATGTAGACTGATTTGGAGAGCATCTTATAGGGGCAGAGCCTCCAGCACATATGCGTCGGCCTGTGGGAGCATAAGCACTCACTTGAGTGCAAATAATAGAGAAGCTGGCACATATGCACCAGCTTGTTAGCGCGTATGCACCCACTTATCCTTAATCGTTGTTTTTTTTTCCAGAAGGCTCATGCTTATGCGCCAACCTATTGGCGCCTATGCGCCCAACATAAGACGCTGATCCAATAACCACGTCGCTTAGGCGCCAAGTGCGGGCGCTTATGCACCCGGAGAAATTTGAACCCGAGATTTGACTTTTAATCCTAAGTTCGAGCAGTGTATCAAGAGTTCCAGCGTGAGGTTTCTTCGGCAAGTTTCTAGTGAAGGAAATGTGTGTTAGAGAGGAGGATTTCTGGGAGATTGACATGCATTTTTCGCGTCGGATCGGAGCAGAAAGAGTTTGGTGTGAGGACTTGAAAGTTTCATTGCGTTTAGAGAGTAAATTTGAGTGTGTTTTCACTAAACTCTCTGAAATTCATAGTGTAATTTTTTTGTGGTGACTGTGATTTTTCTCATTCTCGGTTTTTCCTAGTAAAATTTCTGATCTTTTTTGGTTAATTTGATTGTGCCTTCCATTTAGTTCTTTATTTCGGTTTTCTCGAATTAGTGTGATCATATTTTGATGAAATGTGGTTTAATTTTTAATTGATCTGAAAATCCTGTAAAATTGGGAATTGCTTTGATATTCCTATCAGTATGTATATAAATCTTCCCAAGAGGAAATAACAACAAATTTATTTTATTTTAGTTGATATGCAATTTTGTCCCTAACTTTCACATGTAATACACCGGCACCATCTTATTCATACCATATTGTACTCGAGCTTATTAAAGGCTTTAACCTTCACCTGACTCCAACAAAATAACTCTCCCTCCTCGTCACCCTCACCTTGAACCCATTCCGCATTTGCAGTATGATGGACAACTTGGGCTCCACCACTTGCCCCTCCACCATCTCCAACCTAAACTCCCTCACTACCGCCGCCACCACCTCCCTTAACTCCGCAAATGCCATCGCCTTCCCCAAACACGTCCTTGGTCCGCAGTTAAAAGACATAAACTTATACGCCGGCTCATGCCGCACCTTCCCCTGCTCTGTTATCCACCTCTCCGGCCTGAACTCCAAGCAGTCTTTCCCCCACACCCCCGGCATCCTCCCCATTGTGTATGTAGAAAATAATACCTGCGTCCCCGGCTCTACTCTCTGCCCGCTCGGCAGCATCTCCGCCTCCACCACACCCTTCTCCTCGAACGGCACAGGGGGGTACAGCCGCAGGGCCTCGCAGAGCGACGCCTGCACGCACACCATCTCCTCCCCCACCGCCGCCTCCCCACGCCTTATCTCCTCCACCAACTTCGCCTCCTTGTCCGGATTCTTGCAGAGCAAATAGAAGACCCACGCAAGCGCCACCCCGATAGTGTCCCTCCCTGCAATCATAAAGCTCAATGTCGTGTCCCTGAGAAACTTGTCGCCTGCCAAAGAGTCGTCTTTGATGTAACCCGTGAGGAGACTGTCGTTTAAGGAGTCGGAGCGGTTGCTCTCCTTCTTCATCTTTTGTATGCTCGCTGCTATGTAATCATCAATGACAAGCAAAGCTTCGGCAAGCTGCTTCTCCCTCCCAAAATTGAGACGCCTCATGAGCTTCCACCATGAAGGCGGAACGGCATGGCGGTGCAGGATTGTGGTCATGGCGTCGTCAATTGCTTTGGCGAATGGCACGACGGGGAAATCTGGTGAAAGAGAGGCGGGGTCGTTGCCGAATACGAGCCTGCAAGTGATGTCGAATGATAATCTCAAAAAGATATCTTGCAGGTCAATTATTTTCTTTTGGTCGCTGAATTGCCGCAGCAGAGGAAGGAGAAAGTTGTCAACTTTGTCTCGGCTGCAGAGTGTGACGAAGGCCCGAAAGCGGGGTTGGGCGATGAGGATCTGAGCCTTCTTGCGCTGGCTGCTCCACGACTCCTCGTCGGCGTTGAAGATGCCTTCGCCGAGGAAGTCGAAGTTGTCTGAGAATTCATGGCCTTTGGGGTAGTTGTGGAAGTTAACGTTGAAGACATGGTTGACGTTAGCAGGGTCGCACGTAAGGAGCAACTTCATGCCGGAGAACCATGGGCCAACGAAAAGAAAGGTGCAGCCGGCGGGACCGAGGATGTCGGTCAATAAGTCGTGGAGGCGGTGGAGGTTGACTGTGAGGCCGGGGAGCATGCCGACGATGGGCCAGTTGGTGAGTGCGCCTGGACCGGTGCGGCGGTGGTGGAGGAAGAGAAGGAAGAAGATGCAGAGGATGGTGGGGTGGAAGAGAAATGTGTGCAGGGGGAGTTCTACATCCATAGTGGCGCGTTTGGGAGAAGGATTTGCTTGAGTTGGGAAGATGGATGGTTAACTTGCGGCTGAACATTCAGATTTATAGAAGAAAAATTCACCCTTTTCAGGTCTCAGAATAGAACTGTTAGTGAGAGAAATCTTTTAGACTAAAATTCGGTTTCCACGATAAAGTTCATCTAAATTTTATTTATTTGTATTATAATAAAAATATACGACTATCTCCATTTTTTTTAGTTTTATAATAATATCATAATTCATATATATTTGTTCTTCATTTTTACCAAAGTTCTAAAATGTTTATCCCATTGAATACAAATAAATGAATCTTTTATTTAAAAATTATTGTATATGTGCTTGTTAGAAAGGATTAAGATTTGAATACTATGTGTAATATTATCTAATTTTGATTAACAACAAATTATCCTATCAACGACGCCTCATGATAATAGGAGATTACTCTCAGTTTAAGATAGTCAATAGTTGCTAAGTATTCAAAATTGACATATAATACCAATGATTATGTTTTTAAATTGATTAAATTTATCACCAATTAACATAGAGTGAACAATGATGGAAAATGGTGACACACCTGATTGAGATCCCTTAATTTCGTCATTCTGGAAGGTTATGATCCGTCATTTACTTAGAGAAGGTAGTCAGCCCAACCTAGTAGAATGAACAGCCATGAGTTGCTTCGTCGAAAGGAACCTTATAGACTTTGGCAGGATGCGTCTAAGGGGACCGATCTAAGTTGATCTTAGCTTATAAAAGGCTTCATGCTCTATCACATATACCCTATGATTCACCACTCAAAGGAGAAAATTGTCAATGGGGAACATATAGACTACAACATTGATTGTAATATAATGTTGTCATGAGATTATTTTGAGTGTAAATCTAACAGTATAATTGATATAGCATTGGCTCATTATTTAAATTTGTCCACCTAGACAAACAGTTGTGGAGTGGATGAAATTTGTGGATGAAATTTGCTCTTAAGCATTACGTGATGTATTTCATCTAAAAATTTTAAATTTTATACTTCAAAACATGGATTTTATAAATAAACCATTCATGTTAAGATGTGCATGAATATGCCCATCATTTAGGCAAAATTATTACTTAAATGTCATTATAAGCATTAGTCCTATCAACTATAATCCTCATGAGGAGGATGGACTAATTTAATAAGAGCTCAATCTTATTAATCGCATTCCTATTTATGAGCTGAAGTCAAACTAAAATTTATCCACCTTGACAGACATTTGTGGAGGGTGGATGAAATTTGCTCTTAAGCATTAGGTGATAAATTTCTTTTAAAATTTTAAATTTTATAAATCAAA